GGCCAATCTGGGCTACGTTGTGAGTTTAAGGCCAGCCTGGAAAATACAGTAGAACTGTCTCAAAGGACAAACAAAAAAGTGGCAGGCATGATGGCACACACCTATAACCCCAGTGTTCTGGGAGGCTGAGGCAGGAGGATTCCAGGTTCAAGCCCAACCTGGGCAATTTTCCAACTTAGCGAGACCCTCTCTCCAAAAAATAAATAAATAAATTAAAAAAACGGACTGAAGGAAGGTGTAGCTCAGTGGGAAGGCCCGGGTTCCATTCCAGTATTGGGAAGGATTATGATAACAGTAATAAGAGTTCCTCTTGTACAGGAGCAACGTAAGGAGATGGCTTCAGCCGTGTCATCTGATCTGCTCCTGGGTGGTCAACAGGCTCTCTCCTTAAACAGCAGATGGCCTGAGAGTGCCACACCTTCGCTTTTCTTAGCAGTTTTAACCCTGGAGAAAGAAAGGGACTCCTTCCCAAGGACTCCGTCCAAAGTCCCAGCAAAGAACCTGATCAGTTTGCCTGAGTCACAGGGGCCCAGCCTTGAGCTAATCAGTTGACCCAGGGCGTGGCTTCCTGGGCTTGGTCAAGTGGGGAGGGTGGGCTGGGCAGGGAGAGGCCCCCCAAGGGCAGGTGCTGGGCACACGGAGCCTCAGCCCCACCACCCCAATGAGTGACACTAAGGGTGGCACAGAGAATCATGGGAATATCACCTGGGCTGCCAGCATCTAGCCATCCTCACAGGGCCACCCAGCCACGCCCCACCGTGGTACTGAGGGACCTCAAGCCACTGACGGGCCAGCCTCTGAGCCGGGCCACTGACAACACCTGGGCCCTCACCACTGAGCTGAGCGCTCGGCTCAGGGACGGAGCAGCTACACAGCAGGCCCAGGCCCCGGGGGTGTGTGCCCAGGCAGGGCCAGCCTCAGCCAGGAGCACACGCGTGCAGGGAGCACAATGTCACGCAGCACCACAGAGGCAGAGACGGTTCCGTAAGTAGTATCACCATTCTACACAAAACCACACAGTGCTAACCTCCCCTGACACCTGAGAAAGGAGGTGGCCACCAGCCCTCCCGGGCCCTGGGGACTCTGCCAGTGCAGAGGAAGGGACACACCTGCCCAGGCCACGTTGGGGGAGTGAACCTGATCCCAGGGTCGCACAGGTGGTGGGGAGGGAGGCGTGGCTCCCGCCCCAGGGTAAGGGAAGGGGAATTTCAAGCAGATGGAGCCTCAGAGTGGGGTGCAGGCGCACAAGGAGGGGTGTGCACAGCTAGTGGGCAGTGGGAAGCAGGAACCCCTAGGTCACCGCACAGTGGCCCGATTCAAGGAGCCCCTGCAGCGAGCAGGGACACAGGCCAAGGGAGGACCAGGGCTAAGAGGTGAGGGAAGAGCGAGCGCCGGGGCGATGCATCTCTGGGGCCTCCCAGAAGCAGCACTTACTCTTCCCCACTCGGTGGCCTGCTTCAGGGCCAGCGTGGGACCCGGACCCGGCCACCACAGTCCTGGCACTGCTCCCAGGACTGACACATGACCTCTGCCAGGCCAGAACAGGACCCCTGAGGTCCCTGGCAAAGAAGCCACGGCTTCTTCTTCACCAGAATGCTCTGCCCACAGGCTGACGCTGCAGTGCTTGGTGGCCATGTGCGTCACCGCTGAAGCAGCCTGCCAGGAAGAGGGCAGAGGAGCAGAAGCCCTGGCAACAGTGGCCTCTCTGGCCGGAGTCTCTGCCTCCACTGACCTGAGTGGGGCTTCTCCCACTGCTCTCAAAAGGCCCCTGGTGGCCTGTGTGCCCTGAGCTACCGGGCACCGAGTCACAGCCCAAGCCGAGACCAGGATGGTGCAGTCAGTGAGGATGGAGGGAGTCAGAGTTAGTCTTGCGCAGACAGGAGCAGGAGGAAGAGGGCGGCAGAGAAGCCAGCTGGGCCAGGGGGCAGGAGAAGGGAGGCAGATGGCAGGACGGGCTCCATCCTGGAGAACACAGGTACAGAAGAGGACGAGAGAGACAGGAAACTGGTGTGGGGCACACCCCTGTGGTCCCAACACAGGGGCTGAGGCAGGAGGATCGCCTGGCCTGGGAAACTCTGTAACTAACTTAACAAGACCCACTCTCAAAATTAAAAAAAAATTAAGAGCTGGGGATTCAGCTCAGTGTGGAGATCTAAGGTTCAACCCTCAATGGGGGAGGAGAAGACCAGAAGCAGAAGCTGGGGCTTCAGAGGAAAGGCCGGAGAGTGGGGTGGAAGGACTCCAAGGACGCCCCACCTGGTTCCTCCAGGAGGCCAGGAGCTGTCGGGCAGCCGTGCGCGCACACCCAGTGAGATGTTCAGGACCAGGTGGAGCCTCAGGGTCCTTCCTGCCTGCAGCACCAGGGAGCAAACATGTTATTCACAGTCTGTGAAACACCCCAGGCCCGGGAACCTAAACCACTTCCTCTCAGGCCAAGAACATGTCCCGAAGCCAACGACCTGGGTTCAAGTCGAGGCCCTGCCGCCTCTCAGCTGTCTGATCTCAGGGAAGCCACTCAGCCTCTCTGGGCCTCAGTTTCCACATCTGTAGAAGGGGAGCAACTTCAGTCCTGCCCCACAGAGCTGACAGGGACAGGGCGAGGGCAGGAAGAAGTTCCTAACCATAGCGCAGAGCCTGTTTTCCCTGGGTTATGGGGACACGGCAGGGAAAGGAACAGGCTCTTCTGAGAGGAACAAAAGCAGACACAGCAAGCAGCGCTTGCCTGCACGTTTCCCACCAGATGGCTGGGGAGAGGAAGCTGACTTCGGCGGAAGCCCAGAACCGCGCATCCCCCCCACCGGCCCATTCGCCAAGCTCACACGCAGCAGGAAGGCGTCGTCCCGGTCCCCCAGGCCAGTTCTGTCCCCGCAGAGGGTACGGGGACTGAGCTGAGCCACGGGTCGCAGGAAGGAAGGAAGGTCGGGAGCATCTGCGGGAGGCCGCAGGCAGGATGCCCACTCTTCCTCAGGCACCTTCTCCCAGAGGGGGACGAACAATGGCCTGAGAGGCAGAGCACCGCCGCGGGCCGGCCGGGAGGGGCGAGGCTGCACAAGGAGCCGGAGAGCAGACTGCAGCGGCAGCTGCAAAGGCACTGGCAGCAGAGGTGGAGGAGAGGGGGCGCGGCCAAGGCCGCACCCCAGTTCCCACCTGACTCCACACCACCCCACACCGCTCCAAGGGGGAGCTGCCTAGGGCTTTGCACTTCCAATATTTTAAGCAAATTATTTACAAAGGAGATGAATGAATATCTACAGGCAACTCTCAAGGGGAAATTTTAGTTGGGAGAACACACACACACACACACACACACACACACACACACACACTAACCGCAGGCATCTCAGTACAACCCAGTGCATAGGGGACACTTAATAAATATCCTTCAAATAAAATACAGAAGGTCATTTGAGAAAGCAGTTAGGGAAGTCACGTGACCCCAGCAAAATCCTGGACTTTTATTACACAAGAGGGCCTGTCGTTGGCCCAGACACTACGCACAATGGCTCAATCTCATGACAGCTCCGTGAGGTTACAGGTGCAGAAACGGCCCCCAGAGATTCTGTGACTTTTCCCTACCCACACGGCTAGGAAGAGGAGACTCTGGGACTCAAACCCACACCGGTCTGTGGAGAGCACAGGCCCTAACCTCCAGGCTCGGCTGCCTTTGTCTCTTACAGAGCAGCAGAAGGGAAGGGAGCCACATTCACCAACTCCTTGCTTGCGGCCCCCTTACCAGCAAGCCAGGCCTTTGCCCATGTCCAGGGCCCCTGGCTCCTGGCCACCACACATGTTCTTGCTGTCCACGGTCACACACGGCAGGGACACGCAAATGCCCAGTCTCAAGTATGAGATCTGATGATCCCCAACTTAGGTACACGCACCTGTGACTCTGGCCACATCAAACTGAGACATTCTCATTCCCGGCTCCCACAAGCCTCCTGCACCCTCGCGCTCCCAAGTGACTCTCCTGACTTTTCACACCTCGGGTCAGCATTACCTTTTTCTCTGGAATTTCATAGAAATGAAATCCCCACCAATCTTTAGTGGCTGGCTCTGCACCCTTCGAAACACAATCAGAACAGGACAACGATCGCGAAGAAAGGAGGGTGGGGCTGGGCCGTTCTCTCGCTGGCAAGCAGCCCCCCCGGGGGTTTGGGTGTTAGCTCAGGGACCCTCCCAGAAGGGCGCAGGTCGGAGCACTGTAGGAGACCCCGGAAAACCAGTGACCGCGGGAGCCAGGAGCTGGCCCGCCC